ATGACTGACTGACTTCCTTTCGGCCTTTCAAATTGTTTTATTAGAGATTTTTATTACATTTTTACACTTTGAAACAAAAGATGTAGATAATTTCGTTAAGTACGCCAATTAAAATATGATTAATGTATGTTGAAGTGTTTTTCAAGTTAGTAATCTTTCCTAATGAACGTTACGATAAATAAGCTTTGCCGTGAAGTGAGTTTGACTTCGAAAGCCCTCGTATTTAGTATGTCAGAAAACCTGGGTTCTTCGTGGACAAAATATCTATCAAAGAAAAGGTAAAAATTCATGTTCTGAGGGTATTCTAGCCATATTAATTTAAGAGCACCATCGAAAAATCAAATTATTTCAAATTAACTGAGTTAGTATATGAACATCGCCAACTGTTTTCTTATTTTTCTGAGATAACCGAAGTTCTGAGTTCATTTTGTTTCAGTTTATGAAGAAGTCAAACGACTGTGTCAGAACAATTCTAGGTCAGAATTTACGATGATTATATCATGTGCACAACTGAACACGTGTTCACGCAAGTAACAGAAACACTTTAAGTTGCAAACTGCCTCTTCCAATCTGAAGTCGAGCCAAGATTATGTAGATATAAAAGCTCTAAGCTCTTGCCGTAGGTATTCGAAGAGAAGCGCATTTAAAACAGTTTTTTTCCAACTATGATTCTGTTATGTGTCCAGTTTAGAGGTGAGAGAATCAGAATTCGGGAAAATACAACGAACTGATTTCATCATTCAATTAATCAACTTCATTGGTCCAACTGAATAAGTTTTTTTTTTTTATAGAGAAAAACGAGTCAGATTTCGATAAAAAAAAAGAAGAACAAACCGATTTCATCATCACCACTAATTTTACCAGAACTGTTGCTGGAAAATTCACGGAATGTATTCCATAATCTTTGATGATAGTTTCTACCCGTTTTGGGGGCTGCAGTAATTTAACGAAAAATTTCTTTCCTTTTACCTAAATTTGACAAGGGTTACATAGGAAAAGTATGTTGTATAGTACAGTATATAAATGATTCTGCGGCACGTAAAATCTTTGTTTAACCCAACAGGTTTAAGAATCATTCTGGAATTGTAATTGTGAATTGCCTGTTGTTATTAACAAATAGAAAAGCCTTCACTGTGCTCTGTTCTGTTGTAATGCACACAGGAAGCGGCTAGCGCACGAAAGAAGTGTAGGGAGAAACGCGAGACTTGGTCGAGTCCGACCTTTTCCGAGACTTCTCTCTAGCTTTTTTTCGTTGATTGAAAGTGAAATTTCGGAACAAGCGAGCCGGCAAGTAGCAACAGAAGAACCAAACAAAGGTTGTAAACATGCCAGGCACCGTAATTTAATTTGTTATAACGTGAGCAGAGACGAAAATCCTCAAATAGAAAGCGAAATGTACAGTCCAAGTTTTGAAGGTTTCACACCCAGTGTATAAAGTTCCGTGTTCAAAAACAAAACAGAAAAAAACAGAAATGATGAAAAATATAGCCAAACTGGCATAATTGTTAAAATTCTTACTAATCATGCCGGTGTCAGAGCGAGTGCGATCAAGCTGAGGTCCATCGCGGCTAACTCATCAAGCAAGCCTAAGAAATTTCATGAGTTCGGGTGTCCTTTCCGATGCGTTGAGTGGAGGGCCAGATCAGTCACCGAAGCCGAGTTTTACGGCTCTGTCAGGGGGGTCATTCTGTCGTTCATTCATAAAACACTCGCCTTAAACAGTTTGTTTTCTAATTGCCATGTGAAAAAAAAACTTAGGTGTCTTTATGAGCCACAATTCGGCCGGATTTCACTGAACATTTCACTTTCAGATTTAACAAATAAAGATTTAGATTTAGATTTCAGATTTAACAAAGCACGCAGGAAGCGGCCAGAACACGAAAGAAGTGTAGGGGGAAACACGAGACGTAGTCTAGCCGCTTCCTAAGTGCTTTACAACAGAACAGAGCACAGTCAAGGCTTCTCTATTTGTTTTATAATAAAGAATCCGTTAGATTCCCCAAGAATTACTTTCAATTTTCAAAACAAACTCTATTTCCAAAGCGAACAACAGTGTCGTCAGCATGCTCCATACTCTCATAAGGCACGTTACAATAAGCCAATCAGAATCCCTGTTAGAATGGTTCAAATAATCTGATTGGCTGTACAAGACTAAAGCTGTGAAAAATGTCAAACCATCAAAGTTCAAAAACCATCAAAGCTCAAAAACCATCAAAGTTCAAAAACCATCAAAGTTCATATTCTTACAAATTAAAATAGTTCGGCATATCGAATTTAATACTTTCGCTTGAAGTTTTTTAGTTTCTAATACAGAATCTGAAAGTGAAATGTTTAGTGAACTTCAGCCGAATTATGGCTCATAAAAACACGTGAGTTTTTTCACATGACAAGGTAGAAAACAAACTGTTCAAGGCGAGTGTTTTTTAAATGAACGACAGCCGAATTCACTGGAACATGAAGATCGCTCGGGATGACAGCGCCGCAAAACTCGGCTGCAGTGACTGATGTGACCTTCCACTCAACGTATCACTCGAAGGGCGGCCGATGTAGTTTCTGAGGCTTGCTTTACTGTGATGACCGGAGATCGCCATGATGAGCGAGCCGCGATGAACTTCAGTATGATCATATTCGCTCAGACACCGACGTGATTAGCATGAATTTTAACAATTATGCCAGTTTGGTTATATTTTTCATCGTTTCTGTTTTTTTCTGTTTTGTGTTTGAACACTGAACTTTATATACTGTACGAGTGTCAGCTGTGTTTGATTTTTATTACCGTACGTGAGCTTGCAATTTAACTGAGCGTGAAAATCTTTAAAACTCGGAATGTCTATTTTGTTTTTCCTTTGAGGATTTTCGTATCTGCTCACGTTTTAATAACGTAAATTACGGCGCCTGGTATGTTTACAAACCTTTGTTTGGTTCTTCTGTTGCTACTTGCCGGCTCGCTTCCGTTCCGAAATTTCACTTTCAATTATCGGAAAAAAGCTAAGAAGAGGTCCCGGAAAAGGTCGAACATAGTACAATTGGCAGACGGCGTGACGGCTTTAGCTCAGCTCTATGCTCTATAAAACAAATAGAGAATTTGGCAGCTGGCGCGACAGTTTTAGCTCAGCTCTTTACTCTGATAGAGCACACTCTTTCAATCAATGTCAGCGCGCGTTATATGCGGACTTTATTATAAAGGACGTTAAGTCTGATTCTACTAGAGTTCATTTTAACGAGTGACTTTCATGAGAAATGAACGAGTTCTCAAAATTAGTGGGGAGAAATTTCAGTCAGTCGGCCTGTCACTCACTCGGTCAGTCGATTCTTGTAAACATCGGGGAATTTCTTCGCGCAGTGGTATTTGAACAGCTAAAAAATCTTATGAATACCTTGGGCTCAAAAGGCTTGTCCTCAGTGGCTCAGCTTACCGATAAGCTTTGTAGCTATGACTTAATCGATATTTTACTGCAAAGGGGCTCCTTACTAAGCAAATAAGTCGTCTAAGTAGCAACCGAATATTTGTTTAACTATTGAGCTTATCTTTCAAAAAGAGAATATCATATTCTCTTGCTTTCAATCACTTGTGTGAGAGGTGCGATGAGCCATGTTTTTCAAGAAAGTTGACCCTCAAGATATTTTGAAAAACTTGAGAAAGGTATTGCGGGTTAAAAAAACAGATTTCATGAAAAACGCCTCCATAGATGTAGCGAGTGAGTATCAACAACAGTTGATCAGAACAACTAAACACCAAAATAAATTTACTAATAAAGTATTTGTTATAGAAATAATCGTTTTGATTGGAATTGGCAGAGAGAAGAAGCCTCGGGTTATTTTTATGAGTGCTGTGGAAAATTTCCGTGAGAGAGACTAATCTTTATGTAAATCGAATGAGGGTCAAGGTTGTGCCCAGAAACGGGCAAAGAAAAAAAAACAAAAAAAGAAAGAAATGAAAAACACCTTTTTACTCTTCGAAGATAACCTAAAAAAAATACAGCTTCATTAAAAATGATGCTGAATATTCTCCGAGTTAAAATGAAAAAACTCAGAAATACAGTGTACAATATATTTACTTTATGATCCAACATTAACAAAGAAGAAGGAATATAAAGTAAAGAAAATCATTTTTGACACAGCAGGAGCTGTCCGATTTAAATCGCAAATCGGCGCCGGGATGAAACTAAGATTTGCGATCTCAACTAATTGCTTTTAGAGACATTTTACGACAGTCAATTAATGTTAAACGCGTGTTTTCAACAACCCGATAATGGATTGGGGGGCGGGGGGGGAATGCCAGAATGTGCTCATGGAAATTAGGGAGTTCAATCTCAGTTCAGGATTTCAGTGGTAAACTCCAATATTTTGTTCTTAAGCTATTTTCAGGGTTGCAGCAATGGTCGATTTAACGGCTACCTCCCACAAAAACCACGCTACAATTTTAGACAGGTATCTCTTTCCTCTCAATATAAGAATTCTGCCTCCCCGCTCCCCCCAATCTAGATTATTTTGTTTTTCATTGTGGAAAATCTAAAATCTAATCGGGGAAATGAAACTTAATGTAAATAGATAACAAAAGTGCTTTTGCAGTTTAATTTTGAGTTATCCTGGAGGGTGGAAGTCGAAAACAAAGATCAATAAGACAATTGAATTAAACGTGTTGCCAAAGTCATAACTTGTTTTGATATAAATACACCTATTAGTGTTTGACGCAAATTTTCCAGAGAGGTCGTCTGCAAGTCACGTATTTAAAACTATAGCTTTCTCAAATAGGTGGTGAAAATTTTTCACTGACAGATGTCTCATTTACATCTATCTATTTTCTTTTACAGGGGGAACTGTTTGATTTAAACTTATGAAAACTGACATAGACATAGACGTCTGAATAGCGGTAATATTCTCATAAACCATCGCTCATCTTAACCTTGGATATTAGAAAAAGAACTGCGTCATTTTCGTCAAATCCAAACAAGAACACCTTATTCAAGACGGAATTTTTTTGACGCCCTCTTCACGAAATGGTGTCATATTCAACAGAAACAATTTTAACGTCAATATTCATGATAACCGTGTCCTTTGTGGCTGTCATTGGGAACTCTTTGGTAATCCTTGCAATCTTGTGGAATAAAAGACTTCGTACGATATGCAATTTTCTGTTTCTGAACCTTGCTGTGGCCGACATGCTTCAGGGAGCCATTGCTATGCCTCTCCGCCTGGCAGATCAGCTAAATCAAACAGAAAAACGCCCTCTCATTCCTTGCTTGGTTGTCATACCACTTACCGTCTTTCTCTTTGGTGCGTCCAATTTCAATCTCACGTTGATAAGCCTCGATCGATATTTGGCGTTAAAGAAGCCCTTTCTCTATACAAACTTCGCCGATCCACGCAAGGCGACAATTATAGTCGCGCTTTCTTGGCTGCTAATTTTTATTATCGCATTTCTTCCTATTTTCGGATGGGGACAGACAGACACAGCCGATATAACTGATATTTGTTTGTACTCCACCACACTAAGCCGGGATTACTTGTTCATGCTATTTTCCATCGTCAATTTATCTGTCATCATCACCCTAGCTTTTACCAACTATTTCATCCTTAAAACTGCTCGTAATCAAATCCGCCGTATAAATATAACCCAAAGTCACGTAACCGGCATAAATGGTGCCCCTTCGGTTCAAAAAGATGACTTATCGGTTTCGGTCGTCTTAGGCCGACCGACTTCCGACTGTGAGACGATGAATAGCGATCAATCACGAGCGAAAGTTCCGAAGGCCGGCGGGAGTAGAGAGCGAAGGGCAACAAAGATTATGCTGATAGTTGTTGGTATTTTTGTGTTCTTGACAACGCCAATCACAGTAATTGACATCATTAGCTTATTGGGTTGTCCCACTTGCACACCGCTAACACTCATCAAAATAACAGTTTTCATGGCTTATTCCAATGCCTGTGTAAACGTGTTTGTATACGCTGGTTTCAACACGGATATGAGAAATACCTGGATTTGTATATATCGACAAGTTAAAGGAGCGATATCGAGTCGTTTCCGTCGCTAGCAAAGCTCGTAAGAGAAGATAATAGTACTAATAATAGCACAAATAATAATAATGATAATATATAACAATAATGGCTTTATTTAAGGATGTTTATATCAGAGTCGTTTAACAGTTTGATGTAGAAGTCGAACTTAATCGCCCTAGAGATTAGATGCTGAGTTTCTAGGCAAATTGATGAAACCATCTAAAGAAACCGTTTTCGACAGACGGCAACTGCCAAAAATTTAACATCCTTTCGCAAGCAAACCTAACAAAATGGATACGTCTTCTTCCCAACATATTTTCTTTTTCCATGAAATAATCTCAAAATATCGATATAGCATTTCACTATTAATTTAAAGTTTTACGGAAACGTAACTTTCACCAATTAGTTTTTACTCGCGTGAGTTATTTGATATATGGACAAGTGAATTAATTAAATCCTTACTGGTGCCAACAAATACCCTGGGCTGCAGACATAGCATCAATATGTATAAGCATGTAGACAATAACTAGATTGCAATAAACAAACGAACTCAGAATCAAGAATTACACGTGATATTCTTTATCAAAATAATCGTTAAAAAAATGAGATCGTTGAAAAAACGGTCTATAAACCTTATATGCATGCAAAAAGCTAGAATAATTTTTTCTTTGTTTGTGTAGGGTAGATTCTCTAATAGATTTGTAAAACAGGATACACTTTATGATACATCTGAAATGTATGAAAAACCACGAGGAAAACATGACTATTGTTACTACTGTATAAATATGTTACTCCGCTAAAGATGACAAACCTCTCAATTAGAAACAACCACTAAACAAACAATTAAGCATGAAAAACAATCACGATAATGACGTTAATAATAATGAAAATAAGAATTATAATACTACTTTTAAACAGAACGAGATATGGAAAAGATTTTTATCTATGATGAATGGTTTAGTAACACACAGCTTTACTGAACGTGCATCAACAGTGGTTGTTCGTAAGTAGGGCGGCCAGAATAAAACATCAGGACCAACTAACTATGAGGCGAGTCTCTGAAGCACCAAGTATTATGGCAAAAACATATAGGCCTTGAACCTGTAATAAAATGAAATAAAGGCAATGGATATGCAAGATAATAAACAAATGAATAAATGAATAAAGAGTAGCACACGCATATCAGTTTTTCTTTGATGTCGGAAGTAGCGAGATGTATGTTGAAATTTATCATAAATATGCAATGTCATCATGATCAGTTCTTAAACTTATGATTAAAATGTTTATCCAACCTCTTCGTTCCAAGCCATCGAGGTCTGGGTGATGAGTTTACAAAAGACAAAATGAGAGGAAAGTAATTCTCTTCCGGTCGCTGAACTGACGTTGGTGACCACTTTCGTTCCCGTTGTTGCACTTCCGCTGAGTCCGCTGGAAAACAGACAACGGCGAATGTTTGGGATTTGTGAGGCCTTTTAAGGGTTGCAAACGCCAAACTTGTGTAGAAATATTATAAAACTGTCGGTAGGAAGCTAAAAACACATGCAAAACCATTGTATTTTTCGCGTTTTTCTTTCTAATCCGAAATGAAGTAGTAGCTTTTTTCTTGGTCTTGGTATCCGCGCTTCAGCAATGAATGGCTATTCCTTACAAGTCCCTAATCTATGCAGAACTCTGCATTTAAAATAGTTTGACGTAACATGTTAATATGTTAGTTTTGATAAAAAAAAATCGAATTACATGTTGGTTTTCAGAGACTGCTCGTTTCGCCGTTGTTGAAGCAAATTAAAAGTGAAAAATACATATTAGCTCCCGGGAAATCCATTATTTTATTGATTTATCGCATGCAACCATGTTGTGCTGCTTGTGGTCTCCGACTGTCATTTAAGTAAAATGCTTTAATTCAAAGGTAGCTGACCAATAAGACGTCACTCTGAAAACTTCTTTCCCAACCTGGCTTTACATAATGACATATCGGAAATTTCAAATTCATTAGTTGTCGAATTTAACCTGAAAAAGTGATGAATTATTTATGTAGGGATTCACACCTGCTTGCTAAAGTTAACTTATGATGTTTAGCAACGACGCAAATTGTTGTGTATATTCTTTACGATAAAAACGGCGTCGATTCTGCGCCATTTAAGATGTTTCAGTTGCAGATTGTGTTCATGCATTCACTTACCTGAATCGACGTTTAATCTTTGACGTAAATTGGGAGGAAAATATGTGACTTAATATGTTTGCATTGACATCGACAAACTTGCCGCACTTCATCCGCTTTATTTGACGATTTACGTGAGACGTGAACGTTTTGGACAATTTATTGTCAATACGTCGAATAAAGAAGTCAAAATTTTATTTATTCTGCAAACTTGAGTTCACGAGTGGCTTACAACCGGGACAGCTCAGCGCTCTTCGGCCAACAATATCATTCCACAAGGTAAACCAGATATTATTTCCATTCTAGATAGTAGATTTGACTTGAATAGTTCGTCCAGACATTTTGAATGGACAGAGACGTTAGCCATTATTCTTTAAATCTTCAACGGACTCGAATGGATGAAAGAAGATTTCCGAATGGCAAAATTGGTATCCATGGAAACAAGTTATGCAGCGCTCCTTCAATATTGCCGCCCCTATTATTTGGCGAAGAAGCCCGCCATCTTGTTTATGTCTTTTGTGAAGGAGGCGAGAGATCAAGAAAAAGCAAAAAACACGGCTATCGGAGGAAGTATTGCTCGCTTTGTCGCCATTTCCACGAAGCACCTTCTTTCAAAGATGGGATTGAGAAGTATTTTTCTTGCCGAGAATCTCCCCAGATTTTCCAGCGTGGAGAAAAATTACTTAACAAAGGTGATCTGAGCTCTGATGGGGACCTAAGTCGTTTGGAAGAAATTGGTACTCCTGTTGCAGAGGAAGAAAACTTGAGGACTCTCTCGATACAAGGATTAAAAATGTACAAGAAAAGAAGTAAAACAAGCCATCAATCAGGATTAAGGAGATCTGAGGGGGATCAAGGAGGGGCCAGTTTGAACAGGGAGACAGATAGGAAATACACGTCTGCCCGAAGCGGTTGTAAAGTTTGTGCGGAGCGAACAGGTAACGAGAATGAGAAGAATAAATCAAAGAAAAAGATGATCAAGATAGTCCTGCCTTCATTCGAATGAAAGCCAAGTTTTACAGTATATGTATACCATGCAATAAGACTTTGGCCGAATTAGTAACTATTCTGACACTGAAGGTTCTCTTTACCAGTGAGAACTGTTCACTTGGTCACTAACAAAGTTTACTCAAGTCCTGGAAAACTCATTACATGGCAGGTTTAATTTGGACACTGACTTAGAGGGTTGGTTCATGGTGAATAACCTTACCAAACACTAACTTGGTAATCAACTGTTCAAATAATGAACTGATCATCACAGGTGATCTGCAGTTAAATCGTTAGGTTTGAAAAATCCGATTCTAATAAGGCGATACTACCAACTGGGAGTAGCTGCTAATTCACGAACAATGATAGGAATAGATATGGGATTTACAAGTTTATAAGCCGCGGATTATCTAACACGCTCTTAAGGTAAGGAATACTTGCAAACATTCCGAAAGCAATAACTCTTCTTGTACTGAGAAATTAATAATTCTCGGGCAGTTCTGTTTCCCGAAATTAAGGAAAGGAAAATGGTACAATATACACGATTCAAGGATTCGTACATTTCGATAGAAAGAAGTGATGAAATGAATTGCAGTTATTGGCTGACTAACATTTAAAGGTGAAGTCAAGATATAGCCAGAAATCTAAACGAGTGGCTCATTCAGACTAGGAATAGTAGTACAGTTTATTTCAATAGAGAGCATGATTAAAGTCAAAGACTGTAACCTCCCTCATGGCCTTATAAATTATAAATTGCAAACACATAATATAACATAGCTAGTAAATTTGTCTAATCAAATTCAATTGCGCGAGCATGCTTCATATTCCTATTGTGCACGCTCATGACGTCAGCAAACATATCCCTCGAGAAAAAAATTTTCCATCGGGTTGAAAATGTTATAAAACAATTGGTTCATACGTCAGCTGTGCGTTCATCGAGATATGAAGCACTTGGGAAGTTTAGAGAGCACTCAAGAAGTTAGAGTTGCTCGAGGCGTAGCCGAGAGCAACTCTTACGCATCTTTCGTGCTCTCCAAATTTCCCGCGTGCTTCATATCTCGATGAACACACGCTGACGTATGAACCAATTGTTAACTATAACATAGCTAGTAAATTTGTCTCATCAAATTCAGTTGCGCGAGCGTGCTTCATATTCCTATCGTGCACGCTCATGACGTCAGCAAACAAATCCCTCGAGAAGCTAGAGTTACTACGCCTCGAGAGTTACTACGCCTCGAGCAGCTCTTACGCATCTTTCGTGCTCTCCAAACTTCCCGCGTGCTCCATATCTCGATGAACGCACGCTGACATATGAACCGATTGTTAAATGATAAAAATACTAAAAAAAAAGGTTAAATCACTTATGTAGCTAAAAGGGTCTCTCAATTTCGAAGCTGTCAGGCGTGAATTTCCTTATGATAAATTCAGAGGAACTTCATCAAATTTTCGTCATAGTAGAAAGACAGACTAAATCAAATGTTGCACGGTTTAACAGAAGCATAAAAAAAATATTCGCTTCATATTATTAGTACGTGGAATGGGAAGGTGTTAGACCTAATATCGTATGCTTTTGGTATTTATCAGTGAGGTAATCTGTTATGTGTCCATCCAGAATTTTTTTTAACGTCCCCCCAGCATTTCCTCAAGCTTCCTAATCCTATACCCAGATCCTTCTGTGTAACTGTAACTCACCGCTGGGCCGTGTAAGGTCTGGAGAGCCTACAAGTTTCCCGGACGGTCGCCGGTATTCTTTAATATCCCTTGGTGGAGTGCCACTTTGAAAGTAAATGGTCACACCCAAGAGCAGTTCAAATGAATTAATCGAAGGAAAGAGCATTTTTCCACATATTGTGCGCACAGTTGTAAATCGTGCACCTAGAAACTACAAAG